GTAACTTTTATTTGACACCAACAACGTACAGGCATTTGCTTCTTAAAGACCGGAAAGCACGAAAATGTCCACTCCTACTTGGCCCAACACTTATCCATACAAAAAAAGACGAAGACACCTTTAACTACTTTGGAGCGACTCTKACAGRACYAGACAAAGGACTGAAAAACATTCGGTTTCTGGGGTCGGATCGCGAAGAGGCGGTTGAAAATGGGATGGGCCCTTACTTCAGTATGCCAATTTGGCTACCGTGTAAGAGGCACGTCGAAGATGACATTAGAAGAAAACTTGGGGGACTGGGAATATCAAAAGAATGTGCAGCCCMATTCCYCCAAGATATATTTGGCTGCGACTCAAAGAAAGAAAAGGGACTTATAGGCTCGGATAGTGCAGACGAATTCGATGCCAAGCTAGYAAGCCTGCAATGCATTTGGGATTCTAGAGAACAAAATGCGAGGGGGAAAGACAGAGAGCCACAATTCTTTAAGTATTTTGAAGAACATATTGCTCGTGACATGAAAAAGAAGATGATATCACCAGTTAGAAAACAAGCGGGACTAGGTGAGAATYTTTTCTATAATAATTCTGCAGAGTCAAAACACCAAAAAATCAAAGCCCGAAGCAAACAAGTTCATGGGGGCAGAAAATTGGCATGGAACGAAATAATAGACGGTAGCAGAAAAGGAAGAACGAAATTGCGAAAGAGCCATAGTAGATCAAGCCCCTATGAAATTTCTGAAAACTACCGGAAAAAGCTTCAAGTACCTTTCCCGGTATACGTCAATAAGTCACATTCCCAAAAACAAAACATCAATCTCAAGGTGCACAGAATGCCTGTAGAATTTCGCGGCCAAACACAGGAAACAAGTAAGGCAACCAAAAAAGCAGATAAAAATATTACCCAGTGTGCCTATATCAACCTGCCTAAAACGGTAGGTGGAAAACCAGGAGAGAGCGAGAGAAAACGATTGAGACATCCTAMCGTACAACGMTCAACGTCAGGATATTCGGATAGGGTTCCAAGTAAACCAAAGAAACCTATATTCGACAYAACGACCTTCAAAGTCAAATGGCTTAAACACTCCACAGTCTATAGATGTTATGGATGTCGCCAGAACATCAGACCAAAACCGGCGAAGGATGTTGAAATTGCCTTGCCTCCACCTCCCTGGGATTTCGTTTTAGGGAGGCTCGAGCTGAGACAAATCCCACATCCCGATGGCCAGCTGAAAATGTCAATAAAGCCGGAGGCGGTACATTACCATCCAAGGCTATCTTGCATTCAAAAAGCTCATGGTAAACGCTATTACCCACAAGTGGTAATAACAAGCGATGATAAAAAGGAGATGAATGACATACATCTAGCTCACTTAAAAAGTGAGTTTGGCATCGAATAATAATTATCTGATGTACGATCCGCAACTTCTACATTTATTTCATTTTCAATATSGTATGTGTGGGAAACTAACCGCAAACACCGAAATTGTACAGTCTCTATAACKCTGGGGAAAATGCGCTCTCAAATCATGTAAAACAGAATCGTGTAACTACCCTCTGTTTGTCCAAAACGTAAAGCGCGCATTTTTTGGACGACTTTTTATAGATCACCCTAGCCAGTACWMCTGACTGGGATCAATCACACTTACTTGTAACGTGACGAGAGAAATTTCGCCATGCAATTTGCTGATAGTATTTTAAT